TAAGATTCATTAAGATCATCAAGATCACAGAGCGTGTGAATGTATTTCAGTTTTAACACTTGAGTTGTGTTGTCTAGTTGAATAGTGAAAGCGCCAATGGATGCTTATTCTGGTATATATCTATATATACCAAGGTATATATAGATATATACCTTAATCATCAAGATTTATTAAGATTGCTCCCCACATTAAGACATATTGGTGATTGTACTTGACTTTTAACACTTGAGTCACTTGAGATTCTAATAAAGCTCCAATGGTTGCTTACTTTGGTAATTGAGAGTGTACCTTGTCAACATGTTTTTATATTGTTATGTAAAAACATACTGGTTAATGTATTTGACTTATAATTGTTTGATACCAGCTGTTGAATACCCATGGGTTGTCATGATAAAGCTTAAATGGTTACTTAATTTTTACTTACTTTGTTTCCCACATTCACACGAGAAATTGGGTTTCTTTCAATCTTGTATTGATGGCAAGTAAAATTATCTGCTTCATTCATTGGCCAAGAATGAAGGAAAAAGTTCTTTTGAAGTTATTTTGTATATACATTGCAATGACGACACTAATACCACTTCATCCAAATGTTGCTAATTCATTGCCAAAGTCCAGAACATGTTGGCCAGCTATGACTCCACCTACATCGGTGTGCTCAAGGGAATATGGTTGTCTTTGAATATTTTTGCAAACACACCCACCACAGGTTTATAAATGGTATCACTTTATAACCCCTGAACTTCAAAATCATAACACATGAGAGAACCTTGTCGTTCAGTATAAGTCCAAATCTCTGCAAGCTCTTTGTAATTTTCAAGAGTTGGTCTGATTGGGGGAGTTTGGGGGAGACGGATTCCGTTCACGTCTGTAGGAATCGCAGGTTGGTTTGGGTGAGGAAGGTCAGTGGTATGAGGTGGCAACACCACCACGCTTTTTTTTTCACGTTGCTTTTGCTTCTTTGGCTCTGCGTTTGCTGGAATGTCCGTGACCTCTGAAGCACGAGTCCGACAAGGCAAAGGTGATGTGTCAGCCAAGCACAATATAGATCCCAATGTGAGAACGCACGTTCACCACCTGTTGAATCTGAATCATCAGAGTCTATGTCTGGACTATCAAACTCTGAGTCTTCAGGGTCGGATGGCAGAGATGAGTTATCATCTGAATCATCCAAAGCAGCGGGAGCTCAACTTCGACAACCTTCGAGGAAACACGCGTTACCTGGAAATCTTACCTTCAATCTGTGCAGCTTCCTCAGATGTGGGACCATCAGGCGAGTCTTCCAGAATGTATCACAATTGGGAATATAATTGATTAAAGTCAGCATCTGGGGTAAGGCTCCTAGGATCTTGCGCAAATGGTAGGTATTTGCTGACCTGGAAGTGGCACATTACGAGTGGATCTTGTGGTTACCCTCCGAGTGCCACGAGTGAAGGGCGCTGCTGATACGGATGGCTTGGCCTTTGTGGTACGGGTGGCCGGCATTGTGGGTCACCGAGGTTTCGAATGCCAATATAAGGTTCTATTGCCTGGGAATGTCGGAGGTTAGCAGGATATAGGTGTTTAAAGTTGGTGGGGAGTATACAGTGGGAAAGATAAGGTGTAGGTCTGAGAAAGGAAAAAAGTTGCAGGGTACTTTGGGATAGTACAGTTTGGGGTACAACGTACATACATACATACATATTACATTGGATGATTGGGGTTGTGTGCGGCCAAGTTGTGGTTGTGGAGTAAACGCTAAAATGTGTATGAAGGACTGGATGTGGTAACTTGTGGTTGGCTTTGGCTTAGGAGGGGCCTCAAGGTTCGTAGGGTGTCCTGATATGTTCAGGTATGGGATATACTTGGTGGGTACATGTTGTAAGGTCCTGTATGTTGTGTTTCTGGAGGTGGTGGAATTTATTGACAGGGTAGGATATTTTGTGGGTGTGTGGATGGCGTGGAGTTGGGGTTTGAAAATTACAGATGTGTGGGTATACCTAGTTGTAATTGCAAACACGGTATACAACACGTACACATGTTTTGGCTGTATGAGGGTATACATACCTAGTAAATGTGAGTTTTTTTTGTGTCACTCGAGATTGAGTCAAAAAGCTACCCAGTTTGCTTTTTGTACCCGCCTCCAAGTATATTTGAATTTTTTTTTTGAATCGGTCGGGTTTGGGTCAAAAAGCTATTGCTTTTGGTACCCGCCTTCTACACAACCAACACATGTACATCAAGCCTATACCTGAGCAAGAACTATACCTGCGTTTTAGTTGTTTGTGTGTCATTATGACAATATGTTGTGTCTGTTTTCCTGCAATCGGCTTTGTTTAAAACACGGTTGGTAGACCGATTTCCACTGTGCAGTGGCTCGGTTTGATCTTGGTCTTACAGTCACCTCTTTTGATCGATCAAAGATGAATTGTATGAATTTGATGAATATCATGACATTGGATGATACACCGAGTGATTTCTGTAGAACAGATGTATGCAAAGCAATGAAAGACTGCCATGAACAAAGTGCATGTGATGTTGAGTGACTCAAGTGACTGTGCCAATTTGTGCTGGGTGGTATGTATATTAGGAAGACGATGAAATTAAATTGTACGGTGGGTGGGTGCTTGGGTGGGTGTCTGTGTATAAGTCGGAGGGCTGAGAACCGTCAAGGTTGATCTTTGAGGGGGGTGGGTAGCTTTAAGTCCGGATTGTATCGAGTGATGTGTTTGGGTGTCTTTGAATTGAATCAAGATTGAAGAACGGTAGGTTTTTGCTTGGGTGGTGTCAATTGTGCTACACTGGTTGATTTACGTTGTAGGTGGGTATATTATTTAGTGGGCTGTGAGTGTGCGCTATGTGCAATTTGGACTTAGCCAAATTTGGACCACTCCAAGATGCTCCCTAAGATGTAACTTCATCTTAGCAGCGGAGCGTCAAATACCATTAGGCGATAGGTAGGACTGTATGGCCTAATGGTATTAGGTTTTGACTTAAGTGTTCAGGTGCCTTTTCATCCAAGAGAAGTTCCTGAAAGTAATGATCAACTTGTGAAAACATGCTCCTCATTTCGCTAAGCACATGAGCGTATTTAATCTCCATCGACGTAACTCGATCAATTCCAGGCCCTTGGTCTAAGGATATCAAGTTAGTAAACTACTCAGTTGATATGATGTATCTAAAATCGCTGACTGACCACAGATGATGTCTCTCACATTCAAATACATGTCCTTCATGAGGCGCAAGACTGCCGCGTAGTTGTGTACAATCGAATGTTTTGCTCGCTTGATGGCCAAATCTGGATGGACTGCCAAGCCATCTGCTTCTTGGTAGGGTCGCTTTCTCACTGACACCAGAGAAATACTAGACGACGCTCCCTCAACCTCTTCAATTTCAGAAGGAACATTCTCGGTCAATGACAGAGCCTTACACAACCGGTTCAGAGTACGAGATGGTGCGTGGGTGGTCAGCTCCTGCATCGTAGCTAGATACATAGCCTTTCAAACTCACCTGGTCTTGTGAGCTTAAAGATTGATTGGCAATCGCAACAATTGAAGCAGAAGATTCAAGGGAGACCAAGGCGCCATGTTCATGTGCCAGGTTCCCTTCGAGACGGGATTCGGGTGCACTTTCAGATCCCGTTCGAGGGGTGCCGTCGTCAGTGTGGGCAGAAATCTTTGCAATCATCAACCTCGGCAGCATATTTTGCTTCGTTTCCCTCAGTTTACGTTCGACATCTACAGAAGTGAGGGCAAAGTTACATTGGTAAAAAAGTGGTCCACCTCATTAATGAAGGCCAATTCTTACCGTCACGTCCACGGACTCTGTTTGTAAGCCTATCAGTTAGCTTCCGAATCCTGTGGAAGATTCGTGGTGCGCCGCAGAGCTTCATCTACAAGAGTGGATGTTGAAAAGAAGTTCGCGCTTCAGAGGTCAAGCAGATGGTGGAGACTAGAAAAAGTGGATAAAGGATGATTGTTGCTGCTGCATACCAGTTTCAAGTGGGCGTTTGTTTTCTCAAGATTAATCAAGCTGAATAGGTGAAGAGAAATCTGAAGAGATGATCTAGAGAAGAAGCCGTAGAGGTGGAGGTTATGGACGTTCAAACTTAAAGTGACCTGGCCTCAACACGATCGCACTGAGCAACTACGGCTTTGTTCGCGACTCCTTTGTTCCACAGTACCACCTTCACAGGTGCGTAGCAGTGTCGAAATCAGCACGTGGCTCGAAGCCTAAGGGGAGCGCGTGATACGCAATTTTTACACAAAAACGGCTTCACGTTATACTCTTCCCTTTGAAAACAACTCTGTTGGAATAACAAAGAACTTCATGAACGAAATTGATGGGAAACAACCCTCTAAAGAAGGCTACGTAAAACGGCCATAGCGCTGGGACTAATATGGAGATTTGTTTTACGTGCACTGGGGTGGCCGTGATCAGCCGAAAATCGCGTCGGTAAGGTGGGCTACAAGCCCTTAAAAGGATTAGTTAAAGTAGGGGGACCCATTAAAGTAGCACAATCGTAATGAGCAGCCAAACATACTTTGTTTATGCGGGCTCTATTCTACCGCTGAGCATGACGACTTCATTGTCGATGGCGTGTTCTCGAGCGCGTGAGTAGCGGCAAGACTGCTTGAAAGGAGCGCATCTTACCACTGATTTGTGCGACAAGGGGTTCGCGTTGTACGATCCTCTCTGTAAACACACCATAAAGGATAACGACAACTCATATATCAATTCACTTTCAAGCCAAGATCCGGGATTCCCACCTCAAACATCTGAACTCACACATCATAACGTATCATATGCTCACTTCAACAATCCCGCTTTTGCTGTTCGGGTCAGTCAGAATATTGATAGTATCACCATATCTTACCAACAGCTTTCTGATTTCTCTTCCTTCTATATAGTCTTTACGAAGTCATACATTGCTGGGCTTTCAAGCACGATCTGGAATTGCCTTACGGAATAGTTGACCTGCCGTATCATCGCGTGGCATCCACTCACTTAGATCACGTTTTCACTTCTTTAGTCAGTTACAACATTCACCGTATTACCAAATTTTCCTCACAATGTCTAATTTTTCCTGTCCTATAGATTTTTCACAATGCCCATGAGAATATCTGGAAATATCTCGATTACCGGGCACGTAAATCTGCCTTCTCGACCTGTACGCCGACGCTCAGCCCCTGCCAATCGGGCACGCAGAATCCCTGCGCCGGCTCAACCTATTCGCAATCGGCGCCGCGGCGTCACAGCGGTAAGGAGTAGGGCGACGCGAGCAACGCCTAACGGTGACCCTCTATTTTGGAAGAAGATATTTAGCCTACCGGAAAATTTTGTCGAATTCCTGTCACCCGACTGCAACCTTCGAGCTCGCTCGGCTACTTGTGGTATCCTTCGAGCAATCGTCCTTCACTTCGTACCCAGTCACGTGTTTCCCACTCGCATGTTGAAACAGAAAGTCATTGGCATCTTCAGAGCCAAGGTACTCCGTAAATACGGACCGTTTGTTGGTCTTTGAAGGTATCAGGTGGACATCAACGTGAGTACTCAACATCAGCTATTGAACGCTACTTTTTTTTACCAAGTTGACAAGGTGTATCCTCCATGTCTACGTTGCTATAGCCCTTATGGTTTTTTTTTCATATCTTGCTTGCTGGTCTGTACATCTTTTAAGAAATCGCGTGACTCTGCCAACTCTGTATATATACGTCAAGGCCACGTGATGTGGAAACGGTTGTACCTATGCCTATTGTTTTTTGTATTTGAGTTATGATATCACACTTCTGTTTCTTTCATAAAAGATGTAAAGCGGAGAAATACTTTGTCATACCAGTCTGTACTTGAGACTACCTGAGAGGAGTGCTTGGACAAAAAAATTTGAGTGGTATATATCTTGTACCTTCTTTTAAGCTGTGATTTTCGTACCTTCTCTAGTCTTCTGTGACTCACCCATTCTGTACAAAACCAATTTGATGGGCAATTAATGAATTGCTTGGGATCATTCCAAATGGGCTCTTTTTTACTATTGAATTTGTATGTCTGTATCAGACATCTTGGACTTTCACTACTTCGAGATTCGAAGGAAGTTCGAACTTCGAGGTTCAAAGTTACTTTGAAGTAATTTCAAAGTAAGTTCGAAGTAAGCTCGAAGTAAGCTCAAAGTAAGTTCGAAGTAAGTTCGAAGTTCAAGAATTCTATGAAAACTGGTCTCATTCATTACAGATACATTGACTGAGTGGATATTCAGGTAAGGTAGCATTCTATGACCAAAAGAGATCCTAGTACTACACAATATAAGGTTGGATACGCCTCCTCAAGGAGCGACATCAACATACCAAAAGACAAAATAGTTACAAAACGGAAGCCGGGTCCTGTGGTTTAATCAAGATCAATCAGTACAGCATCTTGTCTTGAAAGGTTATGTAGTACACACCTTCGTAGAAACGCTTTTCGCGAACCTCCCTGTAAACCGTTGGGTAAATCTGATTTTTTTTCGCGTTCAAATCGATTGATAGGAGAATATTGGCTTGCTGACCCTGTATAACAGGCCGGCTCGCATCAGGACAGTGCTCTAGAGCTCATTCAAGAAGAGGGACACGTGCCTGTCCAATTTCCGGTCGAAACGTAGAAGCATCTTGCCTGCATTTTCCGTGACCATGAAGTATTTCTTTGATGTCTGTGATTTTTTTGCTTGTCCTGTCCCGTGTAATTGCCCTGCGAGTATGTTTCCGAGCCTTATCAATATGCCGATAGCTGGTGCTTGAAGTGGCATTCGACATTGGGTCTGAATTCGTTGCCGAGAAGGGCAGCGGAGAGCGCGGCTGAGTCTGACATTTGTTTTGCTTGTGGATGGACATGATTTATGGTCTTGCGCTCAATTACCAAAGAATGGTGGAAGAATGATGATTTATGGAATGATGTCCTCAAATTATATGACGCACCCCTGTCTCTCCGGACAGGAAGAGTACTACGCCATTCGCACAACGCTTCAATGAGCTAGTGGCTGAGGTTCTTGTTCTGCTTGGACCCAATGTCTACGCAGCCGCTGAGTCGCTCAAAACTATTGAGACTCAGCGCGTAAGCCATCCCTCAGGTGAATTTGGAAAATTCAGGTTCTTGCGCCTAGCAGAGGTTTTTGCGGCGTACTTGCCTGATATCAAACAGCGTGCAGCACAGCTACGTAATTCAAAATTCTATCGTCCTATGGTCTTCAGCGTATACAAGACATCCTTAGATTGGCTTATATACTTCGCTTGGACAATCAACATCACATGTTGCGCACCAAGTTCTGAATCCTGAACAAGCAATTGACTCTGTATTTTAATTCGTATAAGACGCAGGGCACTAAAAGTCACATCATACATACTCGTTTTTGGACATCTCACGTTGAAAGTATTTATATTTATCGTATACTATCCATTTGCTAATCAGTGTCTTGCAAGATGACCCCATCAACTTTAATACCCTGTCACTGTTCCGACTGTCAGAAAAACACCTACAGAACCCCACACAGGGAAGATGTACGAGGAACCCTGTGGAGGCCCAGAAACTACAAAACACACGTCAAGGGGTTTGGAACACGTCCCACTTGCGCGACACAAAAAACGTCTCTGCCCTCGGATGTTTCAGGTGTGTGGGGGTACATTTGCTTCATCTTCTAATTCATTGCCGGCTCTAATACTTTATACGTGACAGAGATCCCATCAAAACTGCAAGATTCTCAAAATGCCTCACAGGAAACGTCGCCCTTTGCTTATCCAAACTCAGACAGAACCTCAGCCAGCCACAAAACAACCGAAAGCCACTTTCAACCAATGTGGGATGGTCCAATCATAGATTCAAGTCCGTAACCCCTTCATTTCTTGAATACACGTGTAGTTTGATATACATAATTGTTGACAATTGTTATTTATTTGGTTTTCAGGCATCTACAGCCCAGCATACTACAAAACATTTCGGCGTTGGCATCCTGGTGACTTAGCCTACTTCCTCATGATCGCGTGTTTACATCTATTCAAACACATAAGTGTGGAGGCAGCCACACTTTGCCTGCATCTGATAGGTTCAGTGTCCTCCATCGACTACGAAAAAGCAAAGGATCCGCATGTCGTGGTGCTGAAGACTATGAGTACATTTCTGGATGGACTAAGAGTTGAGCCCAAGATTCGCCGAACAGTATGCTGTCCCAAATGCTTCAAATTATACTACAATAAAGATATACCCAAGTTTTGCACGTCTCGACTTACCCCCCGGAGCCGTGAATGTTCAGAAGCCCTTTCTCATGGAGCTGAGGATCTAGACGGGACCACTCCAAAACCATGCCGGCTATTTTCAACCGTATCTTTCACTGACTGGTTAGCTCGATCTCTGAATCGGCCTGGAATCGAGGAACTGCTGGAATGGGACGAAAAACAATTCAAAAAAGATTGCTCAACAATGAAAGACGTGCGGCACTCGCTTCGTGGACCAGATGGACAGAAATTTACCTCACTTCCCGGAAATCTAGTGTTTGCCTTGAACGTGGATTGGTTTAATGCTAACGGAAATAAGGCTGCTTCGAAGCAAATTTCGCTGGGTACTATTGCATTGGTCTGTTTAAACTTGCCGCCTCAGATTCGGACATCTCAGGAGAACATCTTTCTGGTTGGCCTGACACCTGGTCCTTCGGAGCCTAACGTAGACCAAATAAACCACGTGCTGGCACCTCTGGTTCACGAACTGCAGGTCCTATGGAAGGGTGTAAAGTTCTCTTCTACCGCCAAATACCCTACAAATGGAAGAATAATTCGCGCTATGCTAGGTCCCATTATCTGTGATCTTCCTGCAATACGAAAGGTTTTGGGAATGGCTGGCCATTCGTCAAAGCGACACTTTTGCTCACTGTGTAAGATCGACAAGGATGACATACATCTTCTACAGATTCCGAGAGAACTAAGAAAATGTATGCACACTCTTTGGGAACAATCTTTGGCATGGAGGAATGCAACAACGGTCAAAGATCGGGAAGCGATATTTGGTGAATACGGCGTACGATACTCTGTGCTGTGGGAGCTACCCTATTTTGATCCTCTCAAGAACACCATCGTAGAACCAATGCACAACATATTTCTTGGCATAGTCAAAAATCATGGTACAAAGGCCTTTGGAATGAAGTCTGTCTCGCAATCTCCCGACGACAATAAGAATATGGACAATAGAGATGGCGAAGGCTCAGATACAGAGACAGGGGCATCCGATCTTCGTAAGATGGATGATTCAGGCAATGCAGTGGCCGAAACTTCGGATTCCGAATCATCACTCCCAGCTACGGGATACCTATCAGCAGAGGATGATGATAGATTGTTGTTTGCACTTGAAAATATGAATTTAGAGAGCGATCAATTTCCGGAGACATCCCTCAAAGATGACCACGCAAGCCAAGAAGATACGGATGGCTTTTCAGAGGACGAAGCATTGGACGACGACCTCTCTGACTATGAAGAGGCCTATGGAGATGAACCTGGTTTCCAGTTCTTCGACAAAAACCAAAACTTAGCCGTGTTGCAAGATATCGCAAAGAATATCCGCCTTCCATCTTGGGTTGGACGTGTTCCCAGTACTGTAGGCACGCGGAAGGGTGGGAAATTGAAGGCGGACGAATGGGTAATTCTTTTTCAGGTCATGATAATTCCTGCTATCATTTCTGTCCTGAACAAAGAAGAAGGTGCAGCAAATTTCACAGACCGCGATTTTGTTCGCAATGTCCTCCATCTTATAAGTGTAGTGAATATTGTTCGAAGGGTGGAAGTGACGGAAAATGACGTCAGATCCCTCCGATATCACCTTCGAAGCTATCGAAACGGATATTCTAAACTTTATAGATCGCTGCCTGTGCTACCCAATCATCACATGGCGCTTCATCTCCCAGAGTGCATTCGACGCTTTGGTCCTGCTCCTTTCTGGACTGCATGGTCCTTTGAGAGGCTGAATGGCGTGCTGGCGAATATTCCCAACAACAACCATCCTAGTAAGTTCGCAAGTTGATTTACTGACTAGAATACAGACTGGACTGACGAATAAACCATAGATTCATGCGAAATGACAAGAATCAAGATATGGACCACGGGGCAGAACTTACGACCTGTCTTGAAAATACTGTGTGAAGATCTTCCAAAAGCCATCGCGACAAGACTTTTGAAGTTTTTGGATCCCAGTGGTGGCCCACGAGGTAGTACTTCTGAATTTGACGGGCATACAACCATTGATCTAGATGAAGAACCCACCTATCGCTATGACGAAAAAAAAGCAGAGACCCTGGACTATGTCACCCATGAGAATCTTGCGCGGCGTATGAAGGAGTTAGGATGCGGGCATGTTGTTGTGGCTACTCGGCATTACAAAACCCCACCTCCCTCCCATCACATATTGCTGGGACGCATGGTCAACCAAAAAAAAATGGTAAATCACGGTGGCATATCCTACTTGACCTGGGATCATCACCAGGGGAACAGTATTGTTCTGTATCACTTTAAAGATGCGCGCGGGCCAACGACATATCGGTGGGGACGAATCAACGAGATATTCATAACCAAACCTGGGCCGAAAAACAATCCAAAGGCTCAACTATGGTTCGAAGTGATCCAATTCTCTGAGCTTCGAGCTGCCGAGAAAGCCAAGCATGGACTTGACAATTGGCCGAACGCCAGAATGACGGTTGTGTACAGCTCTCCCAAAAAGAAGGAACTGGTGCGAGTTGATGAGCTCGTTGCTCAAGGAGTGGCTTGGGATGCCCCTGACGGGTGCTTTGGGATTAAGCAGCCAACCACACTAATCATCAACTTGAGCAAGTTTTTGTGCACTCAAACTTGATCTTTTTTGAACCTTTTTTGACCACTTGATACAAAATTCGTTTGTTGTTTGGGCAGTAGAAAGATATTGTGCTTCATCCATTCCCTGCATCATTTGATAGGCCACCTTGAAAAAGACTGGTAGACACAATACTTAGGCTGTTTGTAAATAAACCTGATGGCAACAATGTGAATAAGTAATCAAAATGATCCCAGGACCCGCAACTGACTAACAATGAGCTTGCATTGGATAAAGGTCTGAATGAGGTTTAGTTCGTACTGTTTGTGGAGTCATAACACCACCCTTCCAATGATCCCAATTATATAAACATTACACCATTGATTACATGAATACTCATGAATAATCAGAATTGTGACTGTGATTTCATTGATTATCTCGAACCCAATCTACAGGTCGTATGTGAACTTTTCTCATACGACTGGCCACTGCATGTATTACAAGCGATCACCGTATTCTCGCGGATTAAACCATGGCATTTTGAATCCAATTCGAAACCGCCTGGGGTTTTTCTACTCCTGTTCAATCTTGCAAATTGTATTGGTTCCTTGATGTTGAACATATCAAGTCTTTGAAAATATCAACAAGAAAAAACAGAAAACCCCTTCTTTGGAAGGTTTTAGTCAAAAACTAGCGTAAAGACTTATATATATTCGATGCGTCAAGAAATCGGGTAATCGAGAGGGAACTTGAGAAGCTAGGGAAGCCAATTTCTTCATCCTCCTAGATCTCCATCCGCACAAGACATATGAAAAGATCATCGTCTAGTAGCTAGATGGGTTATAATTTTTGTCTTTGACGAATGGACCTCCTTGCGTACCCGACTACCATTGTCCAAAAGCCCTTTTCAGCCTATTCCCGTCTATCAATACACGTACCGACTTTCAGAAATCCTGACTTAGTAACATGAGAGGCTATACGTGAAGTTTGGAAAACGGAGATCTCCCGTTGTTTCGCCTGCTTCGAACTAGACATGTATGATAGGCTGTAGCACTGTGACTTTGACGTGCTTCGAGAGGTGACAATTGTGCTGAACTGGAAGAGAACGCGTCGATTTTTGTCGAAGTCACTGATTATAGATATGTGATGGAGGAGTTGAGCGTGTGATGAGTGTTTGGAAGTACCTTCTTGCTGACGTGCGTGCACATCAACTCAGTATACATACACCCAACACGACTTTGACGTGCTTTGAGAGAACACAATCATGCTTCACTGGAAGATCCAAAGGATATTACCAAGACTCATGTAAAGATCAGCTTGGCCAAGTCTGAGCACTTGCTTAAGATCACGATATGTTCAAATCTCAAGGTGTTGTCTATTATTCAGAAAACACAGCTGAGTATGTCCTGAATATATGCTTCGAACTGACAGTCAGTAAACACAAAGCGTTGATGAGTCTCGCACAGACTTGCCTACTAACACAATGTCCTCGACGCGCTTCGAAAGGCCAAAATGAGGCTCAACTGGAGCCTCGAAAAGCATCCTCAAGACTCATCTATAGATCAGCTTGGCCAAGTGTGATGCGTGATAAAATTTTCGTATGTCACGTATATTTCGAGTACGCACTTGTACCGGAACTTCAGACCGCGTAGAGTATACGTAAGCCTTCTCATAACGCATCCCGTTGTTTGTTGAATACCTGCTGCTTCGAACTGATACTCAGTAAACACAAAGGCGAATTACGCCTATCATTCAGATGCGTTCAAATCTCAAGACATTGTTGATTGCTCAGGAAACGCGGCTGCGTATGCCTGTGCGAGCTAGCAACACCAGTCACAGCATGGCAAAGTCCAAAGGCAATCTTACTCTATATAAACAGTATATACATCACTTGAGACTGCTATCACCCATCGAATAGTATTCTTGGCAACCCGTCAATCACGACCCAATTTCATAAGCTACACCTAGCATCAAAACACAAAATACACCTGATCCCCAAATCTCACTCTTAGAACAAATACTTTAAGCTGTTGCTGTCATGGATGAAAATGTGCATGTCATGGCCTTGGGGCAAAAGGTCCTCGACAACGAGGTAAGTAAAAAGATTGTCGGACTTATATTCTTCACTGATATGCTCCTCCTTCTCAGGTGATGATGGGTATGATACTCACGCAGATGGAACAGATAAGGAAAAAACTTACAAAGCCTTCCGGAATCCCGGTCAGTCTTGATTTTATGATGAATATAACTTTGAACAAAACTAAAGAGAAAGTCTTGACAGGTGCAAAGCGAGAGTACAGACATTGGTCCTGTGTGGTACAACGATCTCGAGAACTGTAAAGAGAACATTGAAGCCATAAAAGAGGTTCATTTTGGAATTTGGTTTTTTACTGGTATTCATATTTCTGACCAATCTGCTTAACAATGACTTTTCCACATGCGTAGACAATTGCTCGTGACAAACAGGACACCCGAAAAATTCAAAGCCTTCTTTCTACGATCGAGGGCATAGAGGGAAGAATGCAAAAAATTGATGTCAAGATTGATGATATAGAGGCAAAAGAAGTTGAGTCCGACCTGTTGGGTTTGGTCACATCAAATCAATCCAAGGAGCTTTCAACCACTACGGCAAGCAAAGATGTAGCTGCGGTGACGTTTGAAGAGGTTACTATACTCTCCCTCTATTCCCTTTTGCCCCTTATCTCATCAACACCACTCGAACTTTCTTTAATTGAACTATTTTTTCCCGCATATCTTCTAGAAACTGTTTGCAAAAGAACAAGAGATTATCAAGAAAATTTTTAACCAAGTCGAAGCGGTTTTGAAAGCTCAGCAACAACTTATGGAGGGTGCGAGAGATGAAGATCGCAAGAATATGGCTAACCTTGTCCACAGGGAGATTACAACTCTACATCAAGAGCTGACAAATCAAAATGCATCACACGACATAACTATGATGGATGATGAGGTTGAACCTCTGGCCTTGGAAATTAAAGAACTGAAAACGATAGTGCAGGGACTCAAAAGCTTTGTTCATAAGCAGCAGAATGTTATCGAACAATTTTCCGAAAAGTTCGAACTTTCGGACGAGGTCCCACAGATTTGCGATGATATGGAAATTGATAAGGTTTGGTTCCAAATTTTTATTCTTTCACCAATACCTATCCGATATTTTTGAGCCAGCCTTCTGATGAGTTCGTGCTCGTGCTTGATCCCTTTTGAAGCCTGAAGATCATCTTGAACGCAGAGTCTCTGCTGTCGAATCCTTCTCAGAGGAAGCTGAAGCCCAGCGCAAAGCCAGGAATGCCGAGAAGTTTGAAAAATTTCAACAGGAAATGCTAAAGTTGATTCATTCAATGGTAGAAGAAAGGACTTTGGCCAGTGTAAGTGTACAAGTTCCCCTTCTGTGAACTGATTTTTTACTGAGGCAAAAACTTCTTTGCCTCAATAGGCTGCAGAACTTTCGGCTCAGCAAAGCAAGATCTTGCAGGTTGAAGGACCAGAGCTGGATCTTGAAAACGAATTCAACAGCAGATTTTCTGCCTTCAGGAAAACAATAGATGATGCAGTTGAAAGACAGGTAGTAATCACAATTGAACGACAAGCAGTACAAGATAAACCTTCTGATGTGCGTGTTGCGTATCGCTCATTATCCTACGCTTGAGCCCTACCTGAATCCATCACATTCAACAGGTGTCTGAAGACTTGCGCCTTCAAATATTGGATTTGAGAAATTGTGACAAAGAGAATCGGCAGAAGATTTCTGACCAATCTGCGGCCATAGAAAAAATCTCTTCCGGATTGTCCTGTCCTGACTCACGTCAAGAAGCTCCTCAAGGATCTCGTGAAGCACTCGTTCAATTCCAAGAATCACCCCATGAAGAACACTCGGATGGGTTTCTTGATTTTACAAACAGCTTGCAGTCTGGATCATCACATAGTTCCACGGCACAAATGCAAGGCCATCCAGGACACCGCGAGGAAGAGGCGAGAGGCAGAGGTGGGGTTCTTTTTAATGTAAGGAGCCTTGATGTCTCCTATACCGCGGCACCCAAAAGATCTGCATCTGTGCTGAGAGCTCTAGTTCGCAAATCACAGACTAGCGTACCGACTTCTCCTAATAACACCTCATCTTTCCAACGCACAACCTCTGCGGATCGCGCTTCCCAACGACCCTCGCAACAATCGACGCCGGTGCATAACCCGGAAAATAATCATTCAACTCCAGGATACCGCGAGGAAGAGGCGAGAGGCGGACGTGGGGTTCGTTTTGATGTAAGCACGTTGATGTCTCCTATACCGCGGCACCCAAAAGATCTGCATCTGTGCTGAGAGCTCTAGTTCGCAAATCACAGACTAGCGTACCGACTTCTCCTAATAACACCTCATCTTTCCAATGCACAACCTCTGCGGATCGCGCTTCCCAACGACCCTCGCAACAATCAACGCCGGTGCATAACCCGGAAAACAATCAATCAACTTCTCCATCAACGTCACGTATCAACTCCAATGGGCCTTCTGCTACAGGAAGTGGCACGACCACGCCTGTCTCAAGAAAACGAAAGTGGAGGAAATCCAACGAAGCACCCAAAAAACCAAAGCGTCCAAGTCTTCGGCAAGAACGAAGGTCAATGACTCCACAGGTAAAAGAAGCTGATGAACAAACAGTGAGTCCTAAATGATTGAATAGCTGTTAAGCAGCACATTGAACGTCAAACTGAAAGTAATGTTGGCACAGGCACTTCAGGTACAGAAGCATTTCCGACTGATGGCAGGGGTGGGTCGCTCTAAAGTAGACTTCCCAAAATCCCCAACACACTCAGACCTCGAAAACCTGCCGAAGCTCACTGTAGATTACGAGACTGCACCACTTGGAGAGGCTGTCCCCAACCTGATCAGACAGGATCAACTCCGACCAACTTGGAAACCTGAAGAAATCGAACATGAAGCATCTGGTATGCTACAATACTACCGACGTAGACTTCAGCAATATGGGCTTCCTTATGTGGGTTTGAGCACAGCTAAAGATATAAACGCAGAGGATTGGAATAGACGGGTTCTTG